GGCCCGGGAGGGAGGAGGGAGAGGGAGGGGGCGGGATGAATCACCGCGGGGGGAGGGCGCGGCCGCCCAGCTTTTGCCGCAGCGGACGGAAGGCGTCCGCTGCACCGGCCTTCTCGGTGGCGCAGGGACCGCGGCTTCTGGGCATGGGCTCATGGTCTGGGTATCCGATCCCTCCAGACACTGGGGACCCTGTGTCTGAGTCTGGGAAAGGTCACTCCCAGAGTCACAAGGGGCCTGAGAGGACAGTCTGGGGACAGAGCTTCAGACTTCAAATTGTAGAGATCACCCTCATGGAATCCAGGGGGACTTACTGGGACCTCTAAATGACCTTCCCCTCAGGTCCCTGGCATCCGGGCCTGGAGGTCACCGTGCGGAAACCCTAGTGCGCATGGGAGGTGTCTTGCTAGGGCTACCGATAACACTGCAGACCTGTTCCAAGCAGGAGAGGCTGGATCCAAACCGGAGAGGCTGCCCTGGGGGCGTTGGGGTGCCATCTTTCAGAAGGAGGGCCCTTCTCGATGCCCTTTCCTCTCTGTCTCTGACGTCATCCTCTACTCCTCTCTCCCCTAACTGGGAGCTGGCTGTCCAGGTGTGTGCCCAAAACACCAAGCTCATTCCTGTCTCGGGACCTTTGCCCTTGCTCTTCCTCTGCCTGGACCACTCTTCCCCTCTGGTGGGTCAGAGGGCTCACTAGCGCTCCTCCTGCAGCTCTTGGCTTCAATGTCACCTTCATCAGGTCTCTGTCAATCCAGGGAAACTACCTCTCTGTCTCTTACTTGACCTCTTTTACTTGTTTTGGATTTTTTTTTCCCCCACAGCAGTTGTCACCAGACATTGTACTCTTCCTTTATACAGTTACTCTGTTCACTGCCTGTCCCTCCGACTCTGGAATGTACACTCCTCCAGGGAGAGGCCATTGTCCTATGCACCAGTGGCTCCAGCACCTTGAACTATGCCTGGTATGTTATAGGTGCTCAACAAATATTTGTCAAATGAATAAACAAATGCCAATGCTAGAGCCCTTGTGATATGCAGAATCCCTTTCTACGTCCCTAAACATTTGCAGCAAGTTCCATTATTCTCATTTCACTGAAGAGTCACTCTCTCACCTAGGGTCATGCCCCTGGCTTCAGGTGGATCTGGAATCCTACCCAGTACCGCCTGTCCAATCAGTAGGCTCTGCTAAAAGGAGAGGATGAGGTTGGGGGCTCTGGGCTATCAGACCTGGGTGGAAGCAAGACTTCTGGCTGGGGGGTCGCTGTCCAGGTCCTGAACACCAGTTCTCGGTGGGGTGAAATTCCATAATCCCCCTGGCCTCACCCTCCCCGACAAGAGGAATCAGAGTCTGGGGTAGACCCGGGGCAGAGGGACAGGAAGCCAGTGACACTGGACACCTTATTTTGTCTGGGCCTCTGTGCCAGCACCTCCTGGCTTGTGAAATTCCTCTGCAGAAAATAACCTTCTTGCTATTCTGAACACTTCCTCTGGCAGGGGTGGCAAACAGAGGCACAATGAGGACAGGCCTTAGGCACTGGGCAGGAGCACCTGGCAGCCCCACAAGCTGATGTTCCCTGAGTACCTGCTATAGGCTTGGTGCTGCTCTATGCACTTTACTAACATTAACTCATCTAATTCTTCCTACAAGGTGGGTATCACCATTATGCCCACTTTACAGGTATGGGAAACTGAGGCTCAGGGTGGGTAACTTGTCATGACCACATAGCTAGAGGGTAGGAGAAGCTGGCTCTGCTCTTCGCCACCTGTAGTCCATCCCGCCTCTACTCAACCCCTCCTCCACTCTTCTGCCCCAAGCCATCAATTACAAAGATTCTTATAGCCTCACTGTGACATGTGGAAGGTCTCTCTACCTTTTACTCACTCTGGAACCAGCACAGAGTTTGAGTGGACAGATCCAGGTTCTACCTGATGAAGGTCTACATTGGCTCCTTAGACCATTTCCTCATCAGTAAGACAGGAATCCAGATGGCCTTAACTTGGATGGGCCATTGTGGGGTCCAGAATGGGTTAGGGCCTGCCATCTAAATGCGAAATCACTAGGGGCCAGGCCTACGTCACTAGGGGCCTATGCCTCCCTGCTGAGTGGCCCCAGGCATGTAATTATTTGTCTCCATCTCAGAGAGCCACTGTGAGAATTAAATGAACATCAGACCATGGCACTTAGCCTGGTACATACTTGGTACTCACTGCATTAGTTACTTTTCTCCCCTCAATTTCTCTGCAATAAGAGTAACATTACTGAATATTTACTCTGTGCCTGGTCCTGTCATAAGTAGCCATATTAACTCCTTGCATCCTCATAAAGCAGTTTTCAAAGTGGGGTCCTTGGACAAGCAGCAGCAGCAGCACCTAGGAACTTGCTGTCAGCCCACCCCAGACCGGCTGAGTCAGAGATCCTGTGGATGGGTATGGCAGTCTGCCTTTTAACAAACCCTCCAAGAGATTCTGATGCAGCCAAAATTTGAGAACAACTAACCACCCTGGGAGACTGGTGCTATTCTCATGCCCATTGAACAGAAGAGGAAACTGAGGCTGGGAGAGGCTGACCAGCTCCAGGTTACATGCCTGCTAAGTATCAGAGGTAGGATTCGAACCTAGGCCAACAAGCATTAAAGTCTGTCTTAGGAGCCCCTGCACTGGATTCTGATGATGCAAAGCTTGTGTAAGATGCTAGGGAATTCCAGGTCATTCAGTGACTATGGCCCGAGAAAATGGACAGAGCACTCGCTCCACCACCACAGCAGAATCTGAGTGCAATGGGAGGCTCCCACCCGCTCCCAGGGCCCCATAGGCACAGCCACAGCCATTTCCAAACCTTTATTGAGGCTCTGTCGGCTCCAAATAAATATAATACATTAAACCCAGAGCTAAAGGGATTGTGCACCCTGGGAGATACCCCCCACAACCCCAGCTGGGCAAAATAAGTTAGCAGGAGGCCTGCTGAAGGCCAGGCAAGCTCCCTGGCTGGGCAGGCAATGGCAGCTGGACTCGCACACACTGGTCTAAAGTGCATCTTGGTTCTGTGGTCCCCATGTCTGCATGGCCCCGGGCTGGGCCACTGGGAAGGGTGGGCAGGAGGCTCCCGGTGTTCACACCGTGCCAGCAGTGGCTACCGAGGCTCTGTGTCCATCTGTCCATTTGGAGGGACAGCGGTGTGGCCTGGCGTCCTCAGGAGAAGCTGTCATCGGGCCGTGGCTGGGAGTCGAAGGGAGGGTCTGAGATGGTGATGCCTTGATGCAGCTTCTCCAGGGAGAACTTCATCTGCGGGGAGAGGTGGGCAGGGTGCGGGATGAGCACTAGGAGGGACGACGCCTCCCCCCATCCTGCAGTTGAGGAACTGGGGAAGATCATGAGAGGCCACATCCCCTGCCAAGGTCACCCTGTAACAAGAGCAGAGCCATATTGTACCCAACAGGCAGCAAATGGAAGGAGCCCAGATGGCCTGGGTTCAAGTCCCAGCTCTGCTACTTACTGGGTAACCTTGGGTAAGCCCCTTATCTGTCCCAGATGCTTCAGCTGAAAGCTGGGTCAGTAATATACCTACTTCATCAGATTATTCCAGGGATCTAATGATAGACCACCTGGGCACACAGGTCCTAGGTGCCCAGTGCACATTAATTATTCTTATTCCCCACTGTGTGATCCTGGGCGAGTCTGAACACCTCATACCTCAGCATCCCTGTGTGTTAGATGGGGGCCAACAAAAGCAGCCCCCTCACAGGTTGGCCATGAGAAACAAAGAAGTTGGTCATTTTAGCATTTAGAACAGTTTGGCTCAATCAGTATCTGTTAGCATTCATCTGAGAACTCACCTCTGTGCCTAATGGCAATTTCAGAAAGAGGAAACTAATAAGACTTTAACTCAGGATGGGGAGGCCCTGAGCCACGAAGCGCCAGCCTTGCCCCCACCCCCACCTCGTCCTGCACAGCCCTTCCTGGCATGAGCTTCTCCGTCTGAGCATGATTTCTGGCCACAACAAGGCCCCTAAGGTGGGCCTCAGCATTATGGCCTGCGGTGACTGGACGTGATTTTCACTGTCACCCACAAACTTGGGTTCTGACGTCCTTGGGGGCCCGGCCAGTGCCGGCTGCTCCCTGCTTCCCACACCCACTCCCCATGTTAGGCACTTACCCCAGCGTCTGACATCTGTGCTGACCCATCACATTTATTGAGCACCTGCTGTGCCTGGCACTGGGCTCACTCTGACAGCAAACACACATAAAGTGTTTACTCTGAGCTCAGCATTACTCCAGTGTGAACTTATTTAACCCTCACAATAGTCTTTCAGGTACTGCCAATCACTATTCCTTACAAGGCCCCAAGGCACGTGTACAAGGTCAGGAACCGGAATTTGAACCTGGCCTTCTGAACAGATGCTGCGCCTGAACTATAGGGGGTGTCTGGGGCAACCCCTTCTGGCGATGAGGCCTCAATATCCTTCGGAAAACCTCTCTCCCATGCTTACATGATCCCTTAGGCACCCCAAAGGGGAGAGGGGCTCAGGGACCACACCTCGCCTACCCCTGGATGCTGTGACTGGTTCAGGTGTGGGCATGTGACCCCAAGAGCCAGTGAGAGTGAATACTTTCCTTTAGATGTCAGCTTAGAGCTTCAGGTACCAACTCGGTCATCCTAGGGGAAAGTATGCCCAAAACTAAGCCAACCTTGGGGGTGGGCAGAGTCAAGAGATGGTACCAGAGGCCAATTCTTACTACTATTGAGTGGCTGGATCCAACCATGCCTTAAGTCAGATACTCCTGGACTTCTCCCCTCTAGATGAGAGTCAATAAATTCTTTCTTCCATTCTGTCAGTTTTTCCGGCAATCCTTGGAGGTGGGGACTATGAATGGCTTCCTCGTTTTACAGAGGAGGAAACTGAGGCTCAGAGGCATCTGCCACATCTTGGGGTTTGCGTGCAGGGCCCACATCCCCAGGGCCATACCTCGTCCAGGAGCTCCACGGAGGCCCGCAGGATCCGCCGCCACTTGTGCACCTCGACGCTGTGGAACTGCTTCTGCAGGGCCAGGATCTCCGCCCACTCTGCAGCCGTCTGCGGGAACTTACTGCGGGGGGTGCAGGGCCTGAGTGGAGCCCTGGCCTCCTCCAAACTGCCCAAGCTCCTAACCCCCTCAGGTACTCACTCACCCCTTGGCCAGGGCTAGACTGTGCCAGGACTCAAAAGTGTGGGCTGTCCTCTCCAGGGACCAGAGGCGGTAAAAGAGGAGGATGTTGAGGGCGATGAGGACGATGAGGCTAGGGGCGGGGGTCAGAGGTCAAGAATTGGCATGATACTCCCACAAGCCAGGCCAACACACCACCACACTATGAAGTGACACCATGATTACCCCCCTCTTCAGGGAAGGAAGCTAAGACTCAGAGATGGGGAGAGACAGCCTGGGGTCACATGGTCCATAAGCAGCTCAGTCAGGGTTCCAACTCAGGCTGGTCTAATGCCCATGCCCTTAACCGCTATGCCAGACAACCTTGCTGGGAGAGCCGAGGGTGGAGTAGAGAAGGGGCTGCAGCCAGAGTGCGAGACGTGAGGTGAGGGGAAATGCACGATGCACGACCCTACCTCACACAGATCCTGAGCAGGCAGTGAAGGAGAGACAAAGAGATGAGAGCTGCCCAGCCCACCCTAGCTACCCCCACCCCTCCTCCACCACGGCTCCCAGCAGAGCATGGCACACAGCCTCATTAGGCCGCTGCACTTGGGAAACTGAGGCTGGCCCAGAGAGGCTGAGCATATGGCCGATCTGATCCACACCTCGTGCGGTCTGCTGGAAGCACAGATCTCACCTGCATTTCCTCAGAGTGTCCTGGCCCTCACACCCCCAAGCCTTTGAGCATGTGTACCTCCCTGCCTGACCTTCCGGGGTCTCGGTTCAGGAGTCCTCTGCTTTCCCAGGAAGCCTTCCCTGACTGGCCTCCTGTCCCACCTGAAGGAAGCCTTCATTGGCTCCCATGACTTCCCTGTGTGGGCTCTGTCCCCTCTGCCTGTGCCTCCCCCATCCCAGCTCTGTCCCCTCTGCCTGTGCCTCCCCCATCACTCTGGTCTGGTGCCAGGTCTGTCTCCCCCCAGAGCTATCTGTCGCTACTGTGTCCTCAACATCATCCGGCTTAGGCTTAGGCACAGAAAGCATGAATGAAATGTGTAACTAAAATTGTTTCTTTTGTATACCTCTCCTGGTTCACCTAATTTTGCCACCTTTGGGGGCCTTCTCTTCCAGAAAACCCCTGGGCGAGGTGAGGCCCCTCCAACCTCCTGGAGCCCCAGGGCATCCCTCTTCCAGCAGGAAAACTTCTGACCGAGAAGTACACAGTGCACAGAGTTCTGCCAGGCGCGTCCCAAACATCGGCTCCTTTAATCCTTGCTATGAGGTGAGCCTACGCTCTCGCTTAAGCAGAAGCCCAGAGAGGCCAAGCGTTTGCTCAAGGTCACACAACCAAGACACAGCTCCAGGCCTGTGTGACCTCAAGGCCCAGCCTCCTTACTCACACAATGCTGATGAGCACCAGGGCGCTGGGGATGCCTGCCCCGGGGCCCTGTTCCATGGACGGTTCCGAGAAGTGGGAGCTGAGGGAGCCTGCAGCAGAGCAACTTGGAGTCAGACCCATCCAGCCCACCCGACCCGGGCCGCGCTCCTCCACTTGCCCTGCCCAGGCCTGACAGACACACCTGAGGTGTGCATGCCAGCCCGGGCGCAGGGGTCAGGGTCTGGGTGCTGGGGCCCGTCACCGTGACCCCTCCAGCTCAGGGGCCGCTTCCGCCTCCGAAGGCCTGACAGCAGTCCCCGGGCGTCCTTCCCGCCTTCCTCCAGGGACAGCTTCTCGGCCTTGGTGAGCTCTCGCTCTGCAAACACAAGAGAGGGTTCTGCACATCTGCGCCTAGCCAGGCCATGACCCTGCCCTGCCGGACTCTGCCCCCTACCCAGGTGGTGGAAGTAATCTTCAATGCCGCTCCATGAGTTCTTCTCGATGAGGGACTTCACCAGGCTCCAGGGCTGCTTCCGGTAGCGGATCTCAGAAGACACTCTGGGGGTGGGGAGTGGGGTGAGGGGGTCAGGGGTCACGGTCTGCCTCCAGCCCTGCTGCCCCATTCTCGGGGATGCTTTCCTTCCCCTAATTCAGAGAGGGCCCCATGTTGCCCATGGACAAAACAGGCACACTCCCACCAACCCACCCATGGCTTCCCTGTGATCCTCACTTACCCCGAGTGCCAGTCAGCCCACGGCCCCTTCTCTGTCCACACTCCCACTACCTCGGCAAGTTCCCAGCCATAAGTGCCACCTCAACACCGCCCACCCAAATTGGCAGCTTAGTCACACCTCAGGCCTGACCCCCTTCTACCTTGCTGCTATATCCAACCCCACATGGGGGTCTAAGGGACAGCTCAACATGTCCTTAACTGAGCCCCTTATCTCCCCGCAAACCTACTCCTCTCCATCTTCCCATCCTGGTCAACAGCAGCTCCCTTCTTCTAGAGGCGCAGCCCTAACACTTCCAGGCGTTCCTGACCCCTCAGGGACCCAACACCTCTGCTCGCCCAGCCCAACATTCTGCCGCTGAAGCTGACGGGCTGGGAAGCGTTGTGTGGGGGCGGGGCTGGGATCACCAGGGCGTCAGGTGGAGGGTGCTGCTCACCGGAGCCGGGCCTTGTTCCGGGCAAGGCCCAAAATGCAGTAGCGGTGGGCAGTGTAGAAGTAGTCCTGGTAAGGGATGCCCTGCGTCAGCACCTCCGAGTCCACCACGCACCCGCCTGCCTGCGGGCCGCGCCGGAACAGCGTCTGCAGGGACAGGACAAGGGAGGAGGGAGTCAGGGTCGCCCCGCCTGGCTGCTCCGCCTGGTCGGTCACCCTGCCTGGCCCACCTGTGTCTCTACCACGGAGGCGCTCTTGGGACCCAGCGGGTTGCTGATGGGAATGGTGTAGGTCAGCACCCGGCGCTGATGGCACTTGCTGTCCCCACTCCAGGGGCTCAAGGTCACGTCTAGGGGAGGGAAGAACAGAATGAGGAGACCATTCTACAGCCCTTTGCCCACAGGCTGTAGGAGACTCAGCTTTTTTGGAAAGTTCCAGTTCTCTGGGGACTTGCCCCCAAACCCACCCTCCTCTGTGTCCCCTTGGTGTCTGCCCCACCTTCCTCTAGATGCCTAAAACTTTAGATGCTGATGACACTCAGAGCTGGGATCGCTTCCCTCCCTCCACTTCTCACCAGCCTGGGGCCCCCACATCCGTTCCAGCAGCTCGTTTCCCTCTGTACCAATCCTGGTTTCTCCCCTGAGCCTCAGACCTAGAACATCTTCCGCAGTTAGGTCCCCTGGGCCCCTCGTATCCACTGCGCCCTGACTGGCGCCAGCATCTCCTCAAACCTGCCCCTCCTCTTGGGGCCCCATCTCAGGGGTGGCCCCACTGTCCTCTAGACTCCCCCCAGAAGCCTAGGCCTGGACACTCCCTCTCCTGTCTGTTCACTCCCCCTCCTGAGCATCACTGCTGGTCCTGCTGGTCGCTGCCAGCCCAGGGCCCTCTCCAATCTCCCTCAGGTCCCGGTCTCAATCTCCACCTCTGGTCCAGGAGTAGCTTCTTTAAGTGTAGCCTAACCCTGTCCCTTATCTGCCTAGAACACTCCATGACTCCCCGGTGCCCCTGGACAGAGTCTGAGTTCCTCAGTCTGTCATGCCAGTCTCTCCTGGCATGGGGACTCATGCCCCCAACACGAGGCACAACCTTACTCATTCTGAAGGTTCCTTTATACTAACATAGAAAAAATAAACAGAAAAGCTACCGACTAGCTCTTCCCCTACCTGAATCTCTTGCACAGCTTCCTGAGCTCCTCTGCCGGCCTCACCGTCAACCCTTCCGCCTCACCTGGTGCTGCGGCCTCCCCTCTGCATCCCTGGCTGCAGGGGCCCAGCCTGGAGGGATTTCTCGCAGTGTCTCTCTCCAGCCTCAGGGCCCATGCAGGTGCTCTGCTGGCCTTCAGGTTCTTCTCCCTCACCTCCTCCCCTTTCCCTGGAAAAGCTCCTCCTTCAGGCCTTGGTTTCAATTTCACATTCTTCCCGTGGCCTTTCCTGATACCTCTCAGATCACAGCTACCCCTCCAACATTCACTTATTTGTGTGATATTCTATTTACCCTCATGCTCACTAGATTCTGAGGTTCATCTGTCCTGGTCTTTGCATAGGCCTGACGGCGGGCACTAAATGTATGATCACTAACTTGTATTTATGAAATGCTTACTATGTGCTGTTTTAGGCCCTTTTCTAGTATTAACTCACTTAGTTCTCCTGAGACCCTGATGAAGGCAGGTACTATTACCATACCCCCATTATGCAGAAGAAGAAACAGGCACAGAGACACTGGACTCTGCCCAAGGCCACCCAGCTAGCAAGCATAGTAAGAGGCAGAAGACTCTGGTCTCGTGGATGCTGCCTCTAAGTCCCGCACCCTGCCACACCGAATCTGCACAGCACTGCCCGCCTGGGCTCGACCTCTCCAGGCCCACGCTGTGCCCGGCGAACCTCAGCCTGACCTGTGAACTTGCACTGCTCCAGGAAGCCCTGCAGGAAGGGTGAGTCTGAGAAGAGCATCTGCTGGAGCCGCTCGGCGCCCATGTGGAAAACGGAGTTGATGAGGAGCCGGCCGGAGAGGTCGGGAAGCAGGGCGGCCAGGTCCGCTGGGCGACAGAGAAGGGCAGCAGATGAGGCCACTTGTGCTTCTCCGTTCTCACATTGGTTTCTTGGTTTCCCTCTGGGTGACCACTCATCCCCACTCATCCCACTCATCTCTGGCCTTGTAGAGAGGATGAACAGACCCTTTCTTGGTTTCCCTCTGGGTGACCACTCATCCCCATTCCTGGCCTTGTAGAGAGGATGAACAGACCTACCCTCCTAGACTAGAGTGGACACTAACACAGCGCACTACCTGGCCTCCTCTGCCACGGGGGTGGTGGCTTCAGGGTAGCGTGTGTCCCAGTCTCAGACAATCAGAGCCACCAACAGCGCACTACCTGGCCTCCTCTGCCACGGGGGTGGCTTCAGGGTGGCGTGTGTCCCAGTCTCAGACAATCAGAGCCACCAGAATTGGTTCAAGGTGGAGCACAGACCTAGGCCCAGCCAACTGCAGTCCCAGCAATCACAGGAGTGGCACGTGCTCCCAGGCTCAGCAGCTTGAAGCTCTGGGCCAGTGCCTAGTTCTGGGGTATGTGCGTTTGTAACCCAGGCCAGACCAGGAAGCCAGTGATTGGTTTATAGATATGTGTGTGACCTTAGGCAGCCAGTGATTGGTTCAGGAGTTGGCTCATTCTCCAATTGAAGCCAACCCTAGAGCTTTTGGTACAGCCCTTAGGCAGCCAGTGATTGGTTCAGGAGTTGGCTCAAGCCAACCCTAGAGCTTTTGGTACAGCAGCCAGGAAAAGCATGTTTTCTCTCTGCTATGCTTGTCTGGGGCAGGGTGGGGGTTCTCTCTGTCCCCACAAAAAGAGAAGCTACCTGAGAATGAAGCTGGCACAGAGAAATGGAGGTAATGATGATGATGATGGAAATAATAGCCAGCACTTACCAGCTGGCCCAATCACTTTACATGTATTAATTCATTTAATTCTCTTAACAACCCTATGAAGTGGGTATTATTATTCCTAACCCCATTTTTCGGATGAGGGAAATGAGGCTCACAGAGGTTACACAATTCACCCAGGTTACACAGCTATGAATCACTGTGGCCAGGATTTAAACCCTGGTGAACTGGCTTCAGTCTGGGCTCCTATTCACCCTGCCCTGCTACCTTTAAAGCAGAGCTAAAGACATACAGATGTCTCATGACACTGTGTGAATGTCTTACCCACCCAGCCCTTGAATTTGTTAGTCCAGAGAGCCAGCAATTCCCTTGTTTAAGCCAGTCTGAATAAGGTTTGTCACTCACAACCAAAGCGGCTGCCTCACCTTCCTCCCCTGTGGATGAGGAAGAGTTACTCGTATCCGTCAATAGCTCCTCACTGGGCAGCAGGTCCAAGGGGCCCAGGGAAGTGGGCCCGTCAGATGGGGTGGGCTCTGTGCTCGGGGGTTCGGCCATCGGAGTCACTGTCTGGCTGGAGGAGGCATCTGGCTGGTTGTCTGTCTGCTCCTCCTTGTCCTCCTCTGCCTGCAAAGAATGGCTTCAACTAGCCTTGTACCACCCCATCCCATCCTGAGGGCCTCCTGCACGCCGGCCATAAGGATTTGAGACTGTAAGAAAACCAATGCTGGGAGGCCATGTGGATATATAGGGCTTACAGCTGAGGTATGAGGAGCCCTCTCAGCCCCTCCCAGGCCTATCTTGGATGCCTGGGCCACAAGCTTTCTTATGCCCGATCCTGTACATCTGTCTGTCCTGTCCACGTCTTGCCTGTTTCCTACCTCCATTCACCCATCCATCCACCTCTTGCTTCTTCTGTCTCTACTCTTTCAGTCTGTTCCCCCTGTGCCTGTTTTTCATTCCCTATTTGTCCCTAGTTTCCCTGCTCGTTTTCCCAGCTCCGTCCTCTCTCTCCATCCATCCCTCCCCTTACTCCTACATCAACCTTTTCTCTTCCTCAACCTTGTCTCTTCTCCATCCATCTGCCCTCTTGACGATACCACCCCCAGCCTTCCTCTGCCTCTTCCCCTCAGCACCCTCCTCTCTCCTCCACTTTCCTGCTCACCCCATGGTCTGCATCACTGCTGGCCCGGGAAAGGTTGGGGGTGATGCGGCCACGGCGCGAACCCACTGGGCTTGTCTCCTGGCTGTGGTCGGCTGCCCCCGAGGGCGTGATGTCACTCAGGGCAATCACATCGCCCACTTCCTTGGGGCTCCTGCGGGGAAAGGGAGGGTGTGGGGTTACTATATCTTTGAGACCCCACACACCCTCTTGGTCTCCAGACTTTGTTCACCCACCTCAGTCCACCCAGGAGTCCAGGAGCTCTGCACACAGCCTCTCCTGTCTCCCCCAACCCCAGGAATCAACTGCCAACCTCTGACTCACCCCAGACCGTTCAGCTGCAAGGGGCAGACATAGTCCTCATCCTCACTGGTGAGGCCCAGCTCTGAGCCGTAGCACTGATGCACCAGGTGCCAGAGCTCGCGGGGACTCAGCGTCTGGGCAGGCAAGATGTAGGATTGGCCTCCACCTCACACCGGCCAGAGCCCTTCCCACCCGTCCCTAACAGCCCTCAGCCTCAGCAGTTCCCTTGATGTCCACATGGGGGCAGCATGGTCCCCCATTCCAGATCTCACACCTCATCACAGCCCGGTGGGGAGGAGCCAGTATCCTCAAGACTTTCCCCTCAGGTCCTCACAATACTCCCACAGTTACAGGTTAATGGTTCAGTTAAGAGCAGGCGCAAGGCGCCCAGGGAGAAGTCATGCGCTTAAGCTCACACAAGTGACAAGAGGCAATTCAAGGATTTGAACCCAGCCTCCAGAACCTCTGCTCCCCACCCCCATGCGCCCTGCCCCCGACTATTTCCCAAGTGTTCTCAGGAGTCCTGGGCTTTTGGCTACCCATGGCCAGAAGGGCTGGATAACAATGATGAAACAGTAATAAAACAGTAATCACGACAACACTAGCAGCAGCAGACGCTCGCTGAGTTGCTACCATGTGCCAGGCACTCCTCTAACCCCTTCACATGAGCTAAGTCACTGAGTCTTCAAAACAACTCTGTAAAGTCAGTGCTAATATCTTTTATGACAATATCCATTTTTAAGACAGTATCTGTTTGTTTATAGCTGGAGCTGAGGTATAGAGGTGCCCGAGTGGCGGTGCTGAAATCTGATCTCAGGGGCTGTTCTGGCACCCTGGAGCTCACCAGTGGGCAGTCCTGCCTCACAAGAGCTGATGCAGCCGAGCGCTTATCCTGGGCTCGGCTCTGGCTGCTATTAAGGAGGGACAGTCCTCATGTGACCAATGGGTTTCAGTGACTTGCCCCAGGTCACTCAGCTCCTCAGTGATGGGGCTAGAATGCCAACCCTGGGTTCACAGCCAGAGCTCTGTCCCTGCCCTCCTTGCAGACTTTGACGCTGCGCTGTCCCCTTGCTCAGGCTCCTGCTCCAGCACTCTTGCCCCTAATGGCTATAGCTGCCGTCCCCAAGAGAAGAGGACATGAGTGCAACACTGCTGGAAGAGTGGGTTTGGGCCTTCAGAGGTGCTACAGGCCGTCAGCAGCAGCAGACACTGAGCCATGCCTACCCGACATCTAGCCACCTTCCCTGTCACCTTCCCTCCCTGCCAGCAGAACGCTGATCGGGGTGGAAACCTTCTCCAGTCCCAGGGATGAATTATAATTGGTTTATACCAATTCGTCTTTCTTTTGCCACATGGCCAGCTTTCTTCGCAAAAGAAGGCAGTCATGTGACCTAGTTCTAGCCAAAGAAATGCATGAAGAAGTCTGCTAAAGGTGGCTTTTCCTCTCTGATAAAAGAAAGTCCACTTTCTATCCACCCCTTTACTCCTTTGTGTTTGGGATACTTATGTGAGGGCATGGCATCTGGAACTGTAGCAGCCACCTTGTAATCACAAGGCAATAAGCATGTGGACAAAACATCAATATGCAGAGGGATGATAGTGTGGTAAAGAGACAAGATTTGGGGTCCTAGATGACAGAGGGGAGCATTCAAACCCAAACCAAACACCTGCCTCTTGTTACAAAAACATCAGTGTGACACAGTGGTCGAGGAGACACCAGAACCTAACTGAAAGGGGTCAGAACCCTAGCTATACCACACAACAGCCTATGTGACCGGGGGCAAGTCTTATCCCTTTGTGCCTCATTGGTGAAATAAGGATAATAAACATACTGCTTCGTGAGGTGGTTGTGAAGATTAAATTCGTGTAATGCTCAGATCAGTGCCTGGCACCCAGTAGCACCCTAAGTGTTAGCTATTATTATTTCCTTATGATAATTGTCTGTTTGCGTAAACCATTGTTTGGTTGGGTTTTCAGTCACTTGTAGCTGAATGCGTCCTACGTAAACCCATGTAACCACAGTGGGCATTTCACAGGAGGGCCCTTTCAGGGCTGGCACTCAATAGAGTATCAGATAGTGGTGAGTAAAAGTCTAAACTTCCTTACTCAAAACCTTTGGGGTGAGACATGATTCAAAATTAAAATTTGGGATTTAAGAAGGAAAATACAGAGCCAATATTGTATGCCGTAATACAGCACCAACAATAATATAGTTAGTATGCAGTGCAGGGAATACCAGAGGTTCTCAAAGTGTGGTCCAAGGACTTCCGGGCTCCCCTAGACCTTTCAGAGTGCCCATGAGGTCAACATTATTTTCATAAGTGTAAGTGTTACCAGTAGTATAAGATGCTACTTGCCTTTTCCACTTTTATTCTCTCATGAGTATACACTGGAGTTTTCCAGAGGCTATATGACAGGAGATGCTGTCATTTTTCTGGCAGCTAATGCAGTGTGTGCTTATGTATTCTTGTGTTTAAAATTTCCCAGTTTCAATTTCTAATGCACTAAATATCGATAGGTATGATCCACTTACACGAACACTCTTCGGAGTCTACAATCATTTTAAGGAGTGTAAAGGGTCCCCGAAACCAGAAAGAAGCTTGAGAATCAAGCTTCCATGTTGGATACTATAACTTTATACTGGACTACAATTAGATTTATCCCAGTCATACAAATTAATAACTTTTTGACCTTTGAAACACATGAATAGTCACATGAATTGAGATAAATACAGACCTGGACTATGCAAGAAGCATGCATGGCCATTTAAGTTTAAATTAATTAAAATTAAATTAAAAATGCAGATCCTCAGTCACATTAGCTACTTTTCAAGAGTTTAACAGGCACACGTAGCAAGTGGCTCCTGTACTAGAGAACATGGATAGGAAACATTTCCAATGCAGCAGAAAGTTCTGTTAGACAGTGCTGATAGACACGATAAATAACCATGTTATCAGTGCCAAAAAAAAAACCCTCCACATTTTCAGAGTATTTTTGATTTGCAGATGGTGAATAGGGGCCATGGATACACCTTTCTGGTGGGCAGAATGTGGCACTGGAGCCTGTGGTGGCCCCTGACGGGGCCTATGGAGGAAGCTGCCGGTATGTCAGGCCAGATGCCCATGGAGAAGAGCTGGGCGGTCCTCCAGTTTCCTGAGTTCTGGCATCCCTGGCTCAATGGTCTCCCCTGGTCCACCCGCTAAGCACCCTGGCCAGGCCTCATCTAGGCTCACCTTTTCAAGCAGTGCATTTTGCCAGAGGCGGAAGATGAGGAGGAAGCAGCGGTCCCGGGCCCCAAAGGAGGTGAAGAAATGCTGCAGGAGAGAGAGGGGTGTGAGGGGGTGGGGGAGAGACACAGCCAGAGGGAGGAGAAATGCCATCACCACCCATATCTGTTCCTAATCTCCATCCTGATGTGTCCCTTCATTCGTCCCTTCATTTGTTCCACAGAATGTTTATCTTGTACCTAGCCGAATAATGGACGTTAAAGTCACCATGATAAGGAGACAGCCCCTGGCCCTGTCCCCAGAGCTCACAGTCCAGGACGAGAGACAGGGACATCTCCAGATGGGGTCATCCCAGAGCGACTGGGCGGTGAGGGGGGATGCCCTGGGCACTTTCCCAGTCTCCTTTACTCACTAGAGGTGGTCAACTGATCCTCAGCCAATGAAACAGAAAGAACAGTCTGCTGTGAAATGTCACAGGCACATGTGTGTGTCCCAGCCCCCTTCCCTTGTCCCTTCCTGTTTGGACCAATGGTGTGAGGCAGCCATCTTGGAACCACGAGGCAACAATCGTTGAGGGTAGAATGAAACATCAGGGAAGGCTTCCAAGGAGAGGAGACATCTGAGTTCCAGATACATGGGAAGGAAGAATTTTACTATTAATACTATCTCTGAGCAGCTGTGTGAGGGGACAGACTTCAGAGACTGAGACAGGAGGCTGGTGTGGAGATCCAGGTCAGAGATGATGGGAGCCTGGGCCAGGGCAGGGGCAGGAAGAACAAAGAGAAAGCGACAGACTGAGAACAGTTCGGGATGCAGCATAAACAGGGCTTTGGTAGGGGAGGAGGGAGGAGCCGGCTAAGATCAGTGACCATGTGGCCCTGTCGGCAGATCCTGTTGCTCACCTTCTCGCTCTCTGTGCAGATCTGGATGGCGTTGGGGATCAGCTTGGCCGTCTTCTCCTTCTTCAAGCACGTCACTTCCTTCAGCTGAATGGAAATCTGAGAAGGACAAGAGGGTCAGGAAGGGCCAGGGCCCGGTCTGCCCCAGGGCCCCTCCTCGTCCGCTTCAGCTCACTGTTGTCTCCCAGCGGAAGATGTTGCTGTAGAAGCAGATCCAGTTCTCGGAGAGATAGAGGCGGCCCTGGAGGAGGATCTCACGCTGCAAGGCACAGGAGTAATCTGAGGCAGCCAGGAGAGATGGGCAGACACTGAGTCACACGGCTGGCCTGGCCAGCACCCAGGTGGGAGGGTCAGGAGGGCAGAGCTGGGAGCTCAGGGTCGGGTCCAGGGTGGGTGGGCACCAGGACTCACCCACGATGAGGCGTTCGGCTTCAGGGAGTTTGCTGAACAGTTTTCGGAAGTCCTCGTTCCGCTGCTTGTACGTGGGGCTCAGCATCTGAGGGAAGTTTGGGAAGTGAGAAGCCAGATAGGGGTTCACACCCCTAATTTGCCCCACATCGACTCAGAAGCCCCTCAGTCTCCTCCACCCCCGATAGGCTTTCTGAGGCCTCAAGTCTAGGTCATTCTGTGTTCCACTGCTGGTAACACGAGAGTAACCATGATGAGAGCTCCCATTTACTGATTTCTACATGAGCTAGGCCCTGTGTCACATACCGAGCAGCAGCATCACTGACTCTTAATCAAAGTTCCCTTCAGCCTCGATATATTAGGACTATTTCTCAAGGAGAGGCCCAGAGAGGTTAAGCAACTCACTCAAGGTCACACAGCACATAAGGAGCAACACAGGATGTGACCTTAGGTCTGCTGACCATGGCATCCACTCCCTGACTGCTGTCACCCTCCCGCCCACCCCTCCAGCAAGCCCCCATGCCCAACACTTACACTGTACCAGCTCTGCATCTTCTGCAAGAGAAAGGAGTAGAGTCAGAACAAGTCCCTGGGTCCCTCTGCCTTCCACCTCTGTCCCCACCCCTCCTGGGCTTGCACCGACCTTGCTGTTTCTGATGAAGTTCCGGCTGCCCAGGCTCTGGGTGCTGGGTGTCCCAGGCACCCCACCCTTCTCTGAGGAGCTATCGGACCCCTTCTCCACCATGGTGCCTGGTTCCGGCTCAGGTGCGGATCGGCTTGAGGGCAAGAGCTGGAGCCGCTTACGGAGAGATGGGGAGCTGCTCGGTGTGCTCCGGCCAGAGTGGGGGGTGGTGCTAGGTGCGGGGAGCAGAGAAGGGGGTCATGGGGAAAAACAAGCCAGGGTATGGAGACAGGCCTACTTTGGGAGGCCTACCCATTAGCCCATTGATGTCCGCCCATCCATTCAACTCTACTTCCTAGCATGTGACCCAGAGCAGGTTCCCTAACACTCTGTACCTCGGATACTTCATCTGTGACCCAGGAATAAGAAATGCATGTTCTCATCTGGTTATATGGAGGGTTAAATGAATCAATACTTCTACAGTGCTTGTAATAGAGCCTGGCATACAGTGAGCTCTCAATATGCCTATTTTTTGAATTAACTTATTTATTCATACAATAAATATTAACTGAGCAGCCACTCTCCACTCTCCACTCAGTTACTTGAGCTAAAAAAGTATACATCTTATTTTCTTTCTTGTTCATCTCTCATTTCTAATTTGTTAGCAAGTCCCACCTGGTCCACCTCCAAAATTTATCTCCATTATTTCTATTGTGCCCACTCCCCTCTGCCCTAGTGCCCTGGCCCAGCCTCTATCACACCAGTAGCCTCCTCCCTGGCCTCCTGCTCTAGTCCCTGCCTCCTACAGCTAGACAGAGGGGGCCAATGAACCCCTGAGTCAGGTCAGGGTCCTCCTGGTTGAGTCCCATGCAATGCACCTCACTCCAGCTAAAAGCAAAGTCCCCAAGGCCCTAGTGTGGTCCCTGTCACTCCCTTCCTTCCAACCATCCCAGCCTCCTTTTGTCCATTAAGCTCGCCAAGTGCATTCTCTGAGTCAAGGCCACTGTACTTCTGTTTGCTGCTTGGAATGCCCTCCCACAGCCCCAGCATTAGCAGTTCTGTCTCATTCCACTCAAATGCTCCTCCCCTGGTGGCCCAGCCCCCAGCTCCCAGTCCCACTCACACTATCTCAACTCATCCTGATGGCTTATTCAGTTTGTTTATCGTCTGCCCCAGACTGTGAACTTCAGGAGGTCTCGGTTGCCACTGTGTCCCCAGCACGTAAAACTACCTGGTACATAGTGAACTCTGAACACACACTGGTGACTATGTGAATAATCCATGCCTGGCCTAGAGCTGGGAGCAGCAGAAGCCACCAGACAAGGTTCCTACCATGCAGAAGCAGCCTCTGAACAAACAGAACTATTAGAGCACTGAAAAATCATAAACTGCCAGCCAGTGGGCTGTGGAGTCAGTCTGGGGAACTTTAAAGGGACACTTTTGTTGACTTTGTTATTAGGACCATGACAAGCTCAAGCTCTGTGTATGATTAATCGTACAGTTCCTTATGCATTTGGTGCTGTTACCATCTGCGCTTCTCAGGCTCAAACCATGAAATAAATTTGTGGAATAAACAAATAAATGACATCGATGATGACCTGGAGCACCACCACTCCTCCTGGACTATTGCAACCAACCAGACTGCTTGTCCAAAGACACACAGCTGGTTTAATTCTGGGCAGAATTCCAACGTGGGGTCCTCAGTCTCCCCTGGGGAGGAGTAAGAGACTCTCCATCACCTGGGGCTCCTCGGACTTCTCTCTCTTGCCTCCGAGCTTTAGCACACGCTGTCTCTCTGTCCAAACTGTCCTTCCTCCTCTTCGCCTAGCAAACTTATGCATCCTGCCTCCCTTCTGTGGGTTCCCACAGCTCCCATCCCAGCTCTAACCTTTCTACCTATGCTTCCCTCATCCCAGCCCTAACTACTCTGTGCTGTCCCTGTTTGATGACGAATCCATTTCTCCCACAGGTCCTTGAACTCCCTGATGGCAAGCCTTGGTGTTGTTTTGGTCACTGCTCTGTCCCCAGTATGGCTCAGAGCAGGGCCCACGGTAGGCATTCATGACATACTTGTGACATAAATTTGTGGAATAAAGTAAATAAATAAATAAATGGAATTGATGATGACCCAGGCCACTACCACTCCTCGACTACTAAATCCACCTCCCAAGGTCCCCCTGCTCCATTCCTGTGCCCCCACATGCAGAGACACAGGGAGCCTGTGAACTTGAGTCAGGTCAGGGCCTTCCTGGTGAGCCCTGCCCCAGCTGCACCTCATTCCAGGTAAAAGCCCGGGGCTGGACCCTCCCATCGCCCCTTGCTCACTCTCTTGCCTTGACTGTTCCCTCTGCCCAAATGCCCTTCCTCCTGGTGTCTGCAGGGCTCCCTTGCCTCTTTCAGGTCTCTGCTCATGGACACTTCTTCAAGACACCGTCCGCCACCTATTTAAACCACACTCCCCATCTCCATACCCCCTCTCTCTTCATCTCTCTCCTCAGTACTTCCCCCACCTGACCTGTGTTTTCCCTGGTTTTTTACACTCCCACACAGGAGATGCGCTCCAGCGGGGGAGGAAGTTTTGCTCCCAGCCGTGTCCCCAATGCCTAGAATGAGGCCTGGTGCATGACAGGTGCTCCTCGACCATTTGCTCTCGTGGATGGAATGAACGAAGGACCCTCCACTGCCGCCACGACAGAACTTGGATTCAACCAGATGTGCGACTTGCCCGCCCCTCTCTGCAAGCTGAGGTGATGGCAGGTCTCAGTTTGCCATCAGTTCCCTGTGTGACCTTGGGCAAGTGTCTGAACCTTTCTGTGCTTCGGTTTCTTCTTGAGTATAGTGGGACTGTAACAGTATCCACTTCACAGGGTCGTCGGGAAGACATACATACATACAGCCCGCCCCATGGAAGGCACTCTAATGTGATCATTAGGGACTGTAAGACTAAAATACAGTACATGGCCCTGCCACCACCCCAGCACACCTGTGTCCAAGATGCTACACTGTCCCAGACAGGTATAGCACAAACACTTCAGCCTGGTGTGCAGAGCCCAAACTGACTCCAAACTGCAGTCATTCACTCTCTAAGTACGCATTGACCACCTGCCCTGCGCCAGGCACTGGACACACAGAAGCGAGCAAACGGGGTACAATCCCTGCCCTGAGGACCCGACATTCTGGTTGGAAAACGACAATCAATAATAAGGAAACATGTGAACGAGGATGATGATCTCACTGACACTGGTCACCAAACAGCACCAGCAGCCCCTGGCAGCTGTGCAAAATGCAGGTTCTGGGACCCACTGCTGACCTCCCGAACCAGAGACAGCATGGGGCTCAGGAGACTGATGCTGCAAGCTGGAGGACCACAGCAATGAAGGAGAGCTGAGTGGGCAGACAGGCGAGTGGGGTGCAGGGCACACGTGAGCTGAGTCCCAAGGACAGCAGGGATCTGGCAAAGGGCAGAGGAAGCTGCTCAGGGACAGGAAGAGTGAGTCCAAGGACAGGACGGAGCTTGGCAGGTCTGAAGAGGAGCGAGGTGGCCAGTGGGCTGGGGGAGGAGGACAAGAGGACACAGGCACACCCACAGGCCCTGTAAGCTCTGGCCAGGAGTTTGAGCTTCACCCTGAGGGCACTGGTGAGCGATGGAAGAGTTCTGAAGGAGGGGTAACCACATTTCTCCCCTGCCTCTCATCTTCTCCCCCTAGCCCCTGCCCCCGAACCACAGAACCCTTCTCCACCTCGTCCTAATCTCCCACAGCCACAGGTCTAAAGGAGGGCATCTAAAAACAGGTGTGACAGAGCAGGGCCCACACCCCCACATCTTGCTCCTTGGCAGGAGGAACCGGAAGTGCTCAAGGGCAGGCACAGCCTTGAGGCTGTCCAACCAGGCAGGCGGCAGCAGAGGGAAGGGAGGAGCCCCACGAGGCTACAGGACCGTTATGGGGGGCAGGGACTCGAAAGAGAATGGGGTTTTGCCACTGTGGACACCTCACCTCCAGCTTCCTGGGCCTAAACAGGTACAAAGTTCTCTCTGGTCAGGGAGGGGCAGACATATACACACGTGTGCACACAAAGGAAACTCAACAGCCAGTCACAGGCAAACTCTAGTTCTCTATAGATGCAAGAAGTCTCTCCCCAGCCCCCACCCCCAGCAGTAGTATCACAAATGTTACAGTCACACGTAGGGCCACAAGTCCCAGCATAATTACGCACACATCCACAGCATTACAAGTATTCTAAAACCACAAGGTCCCAGAAATTACATGCGCAAGCGTGTGCATGCATGCATAACACAGCTGCACAGGGTCACAGAAACACAGAAAATGGAAAGTCTCAGATAAGTGATATTCACACATACGGCCACAAGAACTTCTCAAAGAGTTGAAAACAACATTCCCACGGTTACAGAGAGTCGTGCAGTGAAACAGTCACAAAGGACTCCAGCTAACACTAGGGAAATTAAGTCACAGGGTGAGCTCAGCTCCCATGGTGTTCACCATCAGGCAGGGAAGACAAAGCCAAGGCCTGATCTAATGTGGCAAAGGATGGAACTGTCATCTGCTGTCTCTGACAGAGAACTATGACACTCACACAGCCTCGAAGGACTCAGAATAACACAGCCCCAGGGGCTGTGGACACACCTCAGCAACACAGTGGCCAGGTATTGAAACAATGCATGGGACATGTTTTATAAACTGTAACAGGGGAACAATGTCAGTTATCATTATTGCTCCAGAGAGTCAAAGGCACATCCAAGGTCTCAGGAAGGAGGGTCCCAGGCCCACTAAGAGCCACTAAGTGTCTCTCTTCCTCTTGTTCTTCACATACACAAAGCCCTAGAGTGTCCTGGCTGCATACGTGGAAGCCCAGGCACAAATGACAATGCCACAAATGGATATACACTAAGATGGAATCTGAGGTAAATTATAGGCACAACCCCAGGGAGTTCAGTCATACAACTCTGGCCCCAGACGCACAACAATGTAACACACATGGAGACACACGTAACTGACATTTGCACACATTGCTAATAGGTTTAGAGATAAATTATAGGCACATTCAGAAGCAGAGGGTTGTAGCAGCAAGCACAGAGCCCCAGACACATAAGGACACACATGACAGTCACCATTGGACAACTTACAGTGACACTTGGAGCCACAGATGTAATTCAGATGTAAATCTCACACACACACACACACACACACACACACACACACAGCCAATGAGGCTCACAGCTGTGTGCACACTAGACCTAGACACATGTACGCACACAATAAAGTCTTAATCAGTGGCAGAAGTCTGATAGGATGAGATACATCACACACACACAACCACAGAAGGTCGCAGCTACACAAGCCCCCAGACACACACTATAGTCACAATCGGACACACACAGGGAACTTACAGTAACATGTAATTCAAGGTAAATTACACGCACGGCCAAAGAGGATCACAATTGCCTGCACACTAGGAACACAGACACGCATACACACACCTCCAAGACACCTATAATTCATAATCGAAAACACGCTGGGCCTAGACAGCAGCAAGAGGACCCTCAAGGGGTCAAGCATGCGGTCTGCAGGCCACGCGGAAGCACCCACCCCCAACAGCCCGGAGACTACCTACAGACCAAGACTGTGGGAGGAGGCCCAGACCCCGAAGGTCTGATCCCGGGCCTGCCCGAGGTCGGTAGTCTGTGAGCCCCTTCTACCTACACCCCAGGCCCAAAGACGCAGGGTCAGCGTCGCGCCCACCTTTCGCCTCCCAGGCGGGGACGAGCCAGGCCGGGAACCCCCCTTTCCCGTCCCCACCCCGCAGGCCGTGCTCCTCGCAAGATGAGCACTGTACTCTCGGCGAAAGCCTCCGCCAACCAGGCGCATCGCGCCCTAGCAGCGACCGGACAGACCGGGCCTCCTCGCCGTCAGCGCTCAGCTCCCGC